TATATATATATATATAAAAGAAAAAATGCCATCGATATGCACACCTATACAAAATAGGCATAAATATCAATGTGCACACCTTATAAAATATAATCTGAATTGTGCCCACAACAAGAGACTAAGTACTATTGTGTAACTGGTGAACAGTGCCTTAGATTAACAACATACATGGAATATAAATATCTCACTAAGGACGTCAGCCGGTAGGACAACTCACAGTATGGAGCAATAAAATCTCATAGCTGATCCACAAGCAGTTCAATGATTATGCAAGATAGTAATTATAGAGCTTTAAAGTGACATGTAAGTACCAAATATTAGGCAGGGCTGTTACAGTTTCATATATTACTTTGCAACAAAAGCTTACCGTTCACAAATAGGCAGATGATTGATGGCTAGGGTTAAACATGAAACATTATTTTTTATGTAACATTTAAAGGCCAACTCCAGCCATTTTTTTTGTTTAGCTTTTGGTAGAGTGGGGAGCAGCTGAATTTTTGTCATGTTTTAATTTATACTTGTGACCCCACTGAGGAGGTTTTTCCCTTTAAAACTGTGATAGTCCAGCCTTTGCTTTTACTTTGTTTGATTTTTGTGTTTTTACATAACAATTGTACAAATATAGAGATATTTTAACTACAAAGGTATGTCTAGTAAATCATTGTGGCACCTGGAAAGTCCTACTTGTAGATAGTTATAATTGAAACTTATGAATACAGGGATGCGGTGCAATGAACATAGTGGTTCAGACAAAGAAAAAACAAAAAAACCTGAGACAGGTGCTAACCCTTCCCTACTTTATATAATGTTTTAGCCAGAGTTGGGCTTTAAATTCTGTTTGCAAAACACTGATTTGCATCATGGATCTGGTTTTATTTAATAGATCTCTTACTTGTATCCCATAAAACGTGGGGCATATCGCTGTATCTGACTTTTAAACTCCATGGGACTCACAACCTCATTGACAGAACGTGTCCACATTGCTTGAAGCAGACGGGCAAACTCTAGGAAAAATAATAAAGAGAAAGTCAATGGTTGCAAAGTGCTGTAAGAACAATGGAAAAAAGAAGAATAAAGCATATCTAAATCCAAACAGAACAATGTATTGCAGCTTCAAGCATGTCTACCTTTGTTCATTTCTATTACATGGTGGATTGATGAGACTAGTAGCTTATGAGAGAGATAAGGATGTTTCTGCTGTCTTTTTAGCTCACAGGAAGTGACAAGGACTCTGCATTTCTGGAAAGATCAGTAACATGTAAGTTGGCACTCTGATGGGGCCAGCTAATGTCAGGGGGTACCCTGACAGGGACATCTAATGTAAGGGGGCACTCTGATGGGGCCAACTAATGTCAGGGGGTACTCTGACGGGGAGAACTCTCAAGGAGACATCTAATGTAAGGGGCACTCTGATAGGGAGAACTAATAAATAATTCTCCCTATCAGAGTGCCCTGGTACATTGGTTGCCCCCATCAGAGTACACCCTTATATTGGTTGTCCCAATCAGAGTGCCCCCTGATATTGTTTGTTCCCATCAGATTGCCCCCTTACATTAGATGTTCCCATTAGAGTACCCCCTTACTGTAAAGAAGAATTCAAGGCATATTCAAAATTAACCCTTGTGGTTGGGCTACCCCTGCACTGCAAGGGTTAAGTGCTCATGGTCTAGGGTGTAATATAAAAAAGATATACTCACCGGACTTACAATGGAGATGAGGACATTCCACAGCTGGAGCAGAGTTGTAGAGAGCTGAGCAGTCACTGCTGCGGGACCGAGGATCGGGTAAGTATATATTTTTTTATTGTAGAACCTAATTAAAAATGAGCACTTGAGCAAATGAGTGCTGGGTAGCCTCACTGCAAGGGTTAATTTAGTACATGCCCGGAGTTCTTTTTTAATTGTTCACATCAAAGTGCCCCTGCCCCCCTACATTAGTAACATGTGAGGGGGAACTCTGATGGGGGCTACTAATGTAAGGGGGCACTCTAAAGGGGATATCTAATTCAAGGGAGCACTTATGATTCGTTGACCTCATCAGAGTGCTCCCTTATATTGGTTGTTTTAGGTTTCACACTGCAGCCTGTATTTTGCATTGAGATGTGCTGGCGTGGGCAATTTTATTTTCTTTAATCTGCATTGTAAGCATTTTTTGTATGTTGTTTCCTTCCATTTCCTTTTGTCACAGATCACAAGAAATCTATGGAACATATTAACATATTTCTGTGGTAGTTTCAGTGGTGATTTTACATGCATATGTGCAGGTATGCATTATTATGTATATGTTCAGTTTGTTCTTATCGTATAAAACTTAGTTTAAAGTTTTACACATAGCAACATTACATATATTGCTATGTGTGTCCCAGGAGTCACACCACATTCTGTCCTGAATTCAGTTTTAATATCGATCTTTTAGCAAATAGGTGTGCCTTTGTTTAGAAGCACCTCAGTACATAATTCTATAGGTGATTCATATGGAAGGTAGCAGCAATGCTACAAGAGGATTCCATATAAATCTTTGCTTAGATCTTGTAAACCTTTTACCTTAGAGTCGTGGAAAATAAACAGAATTTGTCATCATTGTCTAACAACTTGGGCAAATTATAGGTATGTTTTTGCAAATGCAAGCCAAACAATTCTCTTTTATATAGATATAATTGCTTGAATACCTGGACAAAAAATACTTATATATGAAACTGACTACTGAGTAAGAATAACAATAGGAATGTAAAACATTTTAATTTAATTTAATCTAAAACACAGTTTGGAGGTAGTGTGGTAGGTCTTTACAGCTGTTAAGAACCTTGGTGGTGAGATCTTCCATTCCAAGCATAGCTGAGACAGGCCATGCTTGGCTTTTCAGGAAAGCCTCTATGGTCACCAATTAACTGTATATCCCTCAGGAGATCCCACTAAAGGGCAAGCCATATAATATTTTTGTGTATGAACATACAACAAATTCACTTAGGAACAGAAGTTTAGCTGAAAAACATAAGACAACTGCCATGATTGGGGAATTGGTGTCTTCTGTTCTTCTGTTCTGATATTGTATTTTTTTTTACTGAGAAACAATAGTGTTATTAGTGCCTACAGTTTATCATGTAGACCTTTTAGCCTCAGATACGTTATTGCTAAGAGGATGGGGCTGGTTGGATCCCAGCAGGACTAATAAACTGCATGCATAGCAAAACAAACCCTAATTGCATAGAATGCTAATTATTTGGAAAATAATATACTATTATATCGGAGAATGTTGCTACCACAAATTTTGTCCTAAGTGGACTAAGCATCAGATGACAAGGACTGCTTTTCAAAGTAGTCCTTTCATTAAACTATCAAGTCTGCATTAATATGACACTGTACAACACTATTATAACTCTGCATTTTATTGTTTAAAATAAATCAGCCCTTAAGTTCCAATTAAGACTCCATTCACACCAGATGAGTTGGCATCCACTTTTCAATGGATGCCAACACAAGGATATCTGAAAATTAATGGGTGTGGATGTAAGCAGTTTACACCAGAGTGTTGCGTTGATGTGTGCTGCCCTGCACTGAAAGAAAAGAAGAACAGGCTTTACTTTTTCAGCACAACGCGTGTCCATGTACCGCAATGCACATCAATACAAGACAGAACCAATGCCTTATACAGCTTAGTGTAAAAAACACAAAAAACATAACACAATGCATGTCAATGTACTATGTCAACACAAGTGAACGCATTTTGTGTTAAATCACATCCAGCAAACACATTTCGGTGTGAATGCACCCTCAGTGATTTTGATTAGGCTAGAGACGTTTAAGTAAGAGGCTGGTAAGAGAAGGCATTTCCTCAGTCTCCTCTTCCCCAGTGATCAGACTAGTCACAAGGTAAAATGCTGCAGCCAGGTCAGACCTGTGTCCAAAATTTGTGAAGGCAGCCAACAACTGCACAAGCACCAGGATTTACATGATTATCCCATCTTTGATCCAGCTTCTTAGTCTATGTAACTTATACTCATAGACAACAAGAAAAGGCCATTTAAAAATACAAAACTAAAGAACACTTTTAACATTTAATAGTTACAAAGAATACAGTAAAATCAGCAAAATAAAATCAGGACAGTAAAAATAAATGAAAGGTTAGGGAGAGTAGGACAAATGTCGCCAAAATCTTTTAACAGCACAAGGACAAGTTATAACGCAATGATATGGTCCAGAAACAAAATAGATATAAATAAAATATTTAAAGCAGATGACTTACACCCACGTGTCCTTAAAGAATTGAGTTTCAATTTTATATAGTGTTTAATAACTGGTAAGTGAAAAAGATAGCTTACTCAAACACAGGATAGAGAAGCATATAAAAAAGATATGGTCGCCTTGACCATTCAGGGAAAAGTGACAGTGTCTGTGTAAAGCCCAGCACCCAACACTTCATGCTCACTTCTTCAGTGCTCAATTGCCCTTCCTGCCTGACATGTTCCCCTATACCTGTAAGCACTAGGCAATTTGCAGTCAAAAAGAAGGAGAAGTTGGTTGTGTTTGGGCTTCACATAGACAGTTGGATTTTCCCAGGGGCGTAACTAGAAATCACAGGGCCCCATAGCAAAATTTTGTATGGGGCCCTGTGAATTCTTGTTATGCCCTTGCAGAGCCCACTTGATATCCCAAACAGCACACCTGAAAGTGACCCTGCAGAGCACGCCATATACTCTCTATGGTGGGCTCTGCAGGGTCTCAGGTGGGCTGCACACATCTTACCTGTCAGCCCCGATCAGCCTCCATGGTCGCTGGCAGGCCCTGCCTCCTCCCCTGCCAGGCCCCGTCTCTTCTTCCATCGCCGGGCCCCGCCTCCTCTTCCATCGTCGGGCCCACCTCCTCCTCCGCTTCTGACGCTGGGCCCAGTCTTCCTCCTCCACAGCTGCTGGCTGTCACTGACTCTGCAGCGGCTGTGAGGTGGAACAGATCACTGACACGTTGTCGGTGATCTAACAGCAACACGTTCCTCCTCACACCCGCCAGTGACAGCCAGCAGCCTGAGATGCCATAGCGACCCAGGCGGCCTGCACGGCATCAGGGGATGTCCTGGCTGTGCCCCCCTGTGCCCCATAGCGGCCACCTGGGTTGCTATGGCGATTGTTACGCCACTGGATTTTGCCCTAAATGGGCAAGGTGACAGTCACTCTTTTAAAGTGCAGTGAAAGATCTCTGTGCTCTGACTACATTTCCAGCAGATGTCTTTGACAGCACCAGGGCACAGGGGAAGTGTTTTTTTATCAGTTTCCATTCAGGCTTTGCAATCATAGAAAATAGATTGCATGATGGGGGCTGAGCGATACCATGATTTGCTCGGTGTCGCTAGTAATAACCAGCAGTGTTTCAATTGCTGCAAAACTGCCGTGAGCGGGTGAAGCTTCAATAAAAAGGACACAGTCTAAAGCTGACTTCATAACTGGGGTTGCATTGAATTTTTTTTTTCTAGAACAATTAATTGAACACTTATCCCTTGGTAACTACGCTCTATACGGTTCAAGTATTACCCACCTTCCATAATTGCTGTATTGCCGTTCTTTGCGTTGAGATCACGCTTATACGCGTTTTGTAGACAATAGTCTCTGAGATCCTTAGTATTGCTCAGACACTGAAGGATGGAGTTCATGAAGCACTGTCATATAAACACATTAGAATGTATTAGAATAGGCATAAAGGGAACATACAATATTCTGTACTAAATGAAGAAGTGATGACTGCTACCTAAAACAAAGATAAAAACACAGAATAATAGCAGATTACAAATATATCCTTTAAAAACAACAAAGAACATGTAAAGGTTTTCATTTTGCATTTTCACTATACACCTTTCATGAGGTAACATGCCGGCCTATTCTTTTCAAAATCCTAGTTGCCTGGCTTTGAGTCAATGACCTGGAACAAGTGTGCAAATAACTTAGGACAGTGGGGTCTTGCTTGAAAGGCAGGCAACTAAGCATTTTTTCAGGATGTCAACAATGGCAACCCCCATGCTTCTCTGATGGAAGGTTTTCTCCACTGGACTGCTCTCTGCTGGAAAATGCAATGTTACTCCACACTGTGGCCTGCATTTACCATTCATTCTCTGATTGATGGAGAGGCTGGTCCCATTACTTTAATAGGTCATGTGATTGGGTTCTGCCCTTCTTTTTTTTTTTCTTAATGTATTCAACCCATTTTTGAATAGCACTTTACTTGACTCCTTGTCATGTGTATGGAGGACTTCAAAGGCCAAGCTCACCTTATCACAGAATGTGACAAAAGTAACTTAGTTACAGCACCGCATACCTTCTCTGGTCCCCTCTGTACTTACCTGTGTGATGCCCTCTCCATCTCGTATAGCAGTCTGTTCAGCATACAACAGACTCCACAGCCCCGCAGTCTGTAATGATCTTAATGCTTGAAAATGGTGAGCACACATTGGTCAGCACCATCACATGACGATGTTTAACAATGAGAAGCACTTCTGAACTGGGGACCAGGTTCCGGAAGTAACAAGTGCATCTCATTTGCAATATTTACAATCATTGCAGACTAAAGTGTAGTTTATGGACCGCTACAGCAGTTAGTGGGGACATCACACAAGTAAGTACAGAGGGGGAGGGGGTGCTGTGAGAGATTGAATTGTTTTCACATTTTGTTAAAAGGTGAACTTACCCTTTCAGGAACCCAAAACTATTGCAGGATTACAATGATTCCAGTTCAAACTTGAGGGAGCAGGAAGAGGGTAAGTGCCTGCAATATGTCTCCACTGTTTGCTATGATCCTAGTTAAACCAGATGGCTATCCTCAGGAGACCTACCTTTTTTGTGTTGAGGAGTAGGTCTGTGCGTGCATGCTGTCAACTGATACATGCTTGCCATCCACCTCAGGTTTCCCTGTGCTGACTATGTTAACTACATAGACTGCTGTGCAATGAATGAGATTCTCCCATCTGTCTAGCCAGTCTGGTGCCATTCACTCACCCTGCTCACAAATTTGGCAGCATGACAACTGGGACAGTGTTAGCTGAACTCTGCTGAGCCTTGCAAAGATCTGCTAATGTATGGCGAGATCTGCCGAGACCTCTTGTCCCCATCCCATGTGGCCGAATCCTGCCAGATCCCCTCCAGTCTGCCTGATAATCCTGTTACCTATAAAGCACCTATCTGATAACTCCTGCCAGGTCTCCACTTCAACACTTCTAATTGGGGATGCACCGATACCGATACTAGTATTGGTATCGGTGCCGATACGAGTTTTTGGACGAGTACTCATACTCGCCCAAATGCTCCGTTGCCTAGCCCGATACTTCCTGTATCAGTAAGCCGTGCAGCGCATGATTACACGCTGCCCAGCTTCCTGATTGTGACGAGAGAGCATGGAGCCGGCTTCCCGGCCAATCAGGAAGTCGTGCGCCGTGTAATGACGCAGCACCCGGCTTTCTGATTGGCCGGGAAGCCGGCATCATGCTCCCTCGTCAGTTGGCCCATGGGCCGGTACTTTGAGACCTCTGGTTTAGAGGTTGTTCTAAATCCATTAATTAGGGATCCAACCGGGAGCATTTAATGCTAATGTAATCAATTATTCGAAACTAAAGAAAGGGTTTGGCTTGCATGCACTTTGATGCTACATGATGTAATGTCAGTGTAATGTCCTGATTAAGAAAAAAGCTAAATAAATAAGTAGAACTCACCGTATTGCCAAGATTCCGCAGGCCAACCAAACCTTGTACAAGTTTGTGGGGCTAAAAGAGATATGGAAGAAGATCAGTATTATGGCTGTAAATTTGTTATAAGGAGAGGAGAAAAAAACACCATACAGAATAACATTTAAAATTTTGTACTTTTCTGCAAATATTATAAAAGCTTAAAACAAAATGAAGTATGGAGTATGTTAAAATACTGTATACCTCTTAAATAACTTCTGATTCCCTTAGGATGCTTTTTTTAAAAACAAATTTAACTAATAATCTGCTCTCCTCCAGTTTTTTTTCCCCAGAGGTTGGCAGCAGGCATTTAAAGGGGGGTTCTCTATATGATTGCAACCCCCCAATGGACTGCCCAATATGTCTCCATGCCCCCTTCACCACACGGTTAAAATCATGGTAATAATAATTACCAGTCCTATTAGTACCAGTATGACTTCAAAGTAGGTCAATAGATTGGTTTTACTTTACATATGGACAGCATCGGAACAGCTAAATGAAAGTCATAAGGCTTTTATCATTTTTATTTCTATAAATCCCAAATACACAAGTTAGCTACAAATGTTTTTATACAAACAAAACATGGAGCTGAGGTACAGTTACTGGCAATGTTAATTGTCAGTCATCTGACACACCAAATCCATTTCTTCACATTGATTTTAACTTGAATAATACAGCAAATCCTTCTTTTTTTATCGTTTAAAGAGCCATCCCTACATGCCCATCATTTGATTCCCATATCCCCAATGGGTATGGCTACCTCCAGGTAAAAGCCCCTGGATTTAAGGGACTTGAGGTCACTACCATTTGCAATTTGTTCTCTAACTTTCTTTTATAATATTGTTATATTACTTTGTATCTTCTGTTATGTATGTTTGCACAATATAATACCCTATTTCTGAGAGTGAATATCAACTATCGGATTTTTCATTTTCATTTTTTTTTACTTATAAAATTGTATATTAGGAGGAATATGTTGGCAGCCTTAGTTGACCTCTGAAACAAGAATGCAGCCACTGAAGTCAGAACTCCTTGTTCCAAGGGAATTACTCTACTGGATCAGAATAAAAGCCAGGCACCTACCATATTTAGAAGGAAAGGTCAGTAATAAGAGTGTATGTGTTTTTTATCAGTACAGGTGTCTATTAAATCAGGGCTGAACAAATCCTTGTTGCCATGGTGGCTGGAAAAATTCCATGGCAGCCAGGATGCCCTGTCCAGACACTACCAAGAGGTAGGTGGATGGTCTATGCAGGTGGCACATGGGGCAAACATTAACCACATGCTAACTAATACAACACTTTCACCCATTCCATCCATGGAAGGTCTCCTTTAATTATCTCCACTCCAGCAATGCAATGTTCCTACTTTGCCTTGCCATCAGCACTTCCATTTTCGCCTAGTCCTCTTCTGGGTTCAGCTTTGGCCATCTTAGTTGACTAGCTCAGGATTAAGTAAGTCCTGGTGCCAAGGAACACAGAGAATGTACACATTTGTGGCTGAGTGCACATTTAGGAAATACATTACTAGCAGGCAGAAAAGAAGCTTCTACCTTACTAATAGGAAAGAACTGTAATATTCTGCAACACAACCTTTTTCTCAAACATATTTTTTTATTTCCATTTAAGGTAAATCATTTACTAAAAAACCTTGCCATTTATACTTCATATATTTTTTGTTGGGTAGATTTCTCTTCACTTCCTATCAGGTTAGGGAATCTTTCCAACAGCCCCACCTGTGTTTTTTGAGCTCATAAACCAGACCTAACCTCAGGCAACCACCCCGTACTACAGAGAAATATTCTTAGTAAATGTTTGACTATGGCCCGGAGCCAAAGCTAGCTTCCTATGCATTGCTTTTCACTTTGTGCAAACTTCACATAGATTAATACATTATATTAACCTTTTGTTTTTGTGTTTGCGTTTGATGATCTCTTTATCATGCCATCTCTGGAACCTACAAAGAAACGTCTAAAGAGTATTTTTATAGAGACATTACTTAGTATGAAACACATAGCAAACACATAGTCATTGGTTTAAAGCAAGGTCAGGGCAGATGTAGTACAAGCAAGGTCAGGGCAAGTGAGGTCAAAAACCAGATCAGTCCAAAAGACAATAAAGCTGCTTATCATCTCTCCTGTTTGACTTTTTCTTCAGTCATCCTCCAATCACAATACACTGCAGTTTTATGGGATCTACACTCAACAAACAGGATTACTATCCTTTTTTAAGCCCAGGTGGAGTATTGATGTCTTTTTTGGATCTGGATTCTGTAGAAGCAGAAACAGCAAAGGAAGAACTGTTTAAACAAAGAGTCAGCAAAGACCAACTTGTTGCCAAAAGCTCAGTGCCTAACAAAAACATACTGGTAGTTATCTGTAGCATTGAATACCACCCAGATGGATGCAGATGCTGCAAATATGTCCCTGACAAGCAGATAAACTTTTACCTTAGAGACTTAAAAAGGACAGAGGGGTTTCATTTGTGTATTGTGTAGATCAGAATTATGTGGGAATTACAGACCGGTCACCTTAACATCCATAATATGCTAATTATTTTCAGGGAATAATAAAGGACTGTATTCAAGAATTCGTCTATGGTCATGATATCATAAGTGACAGCCAGCATGGGTTAACAAAAGACTGTTCTTGTGAAACCAACCTATTAGCATTCTATGAGGAGGTGAGTGTCAACTTGGATGGAGGAAAGCCAGTGGATGTAGTGTACCTAGATTTTGCAAAGAGCATTTGATACAGTACCACATAAATGCTTAATATACAAGCTGCAATCTTTGGGCATTGATAAAATGGTGTGTGCATGGATTGAGAACTGGCTACATGGTATATTTGTAATATATATGAAGCACTACCACATGCTTTTGGTAGACTGCCCCTTAAAACAAAGTTACAAAGTGCTGTTCCAGCCATAGCTTGTATTAGTGCCTATGTGACTGCAGTGCGAAAGCTGTAGAATTACATCTAAAAATGTATAGAACTGAACTCTTGAAGTTGTTCCCGGAGAAAGGTAGGAAGAGGGCCAGCGACTTGGCCTATGGTCTCCCTGCAGCTGATCTTTCCCCATTACGGAATTAAAATACCTTGTCCTGCACTGTGACTCTATATGGAGACTGCCATCTTGGTAGAGGCAGGGCTTTTGCTTTCTCGAGTAAGAGCCTCCTGCAACAACAGTGAGCAGCACAGTAGTAACATCACCAGATCTACTGAGACTAGCTGTGAGAAGCAGCAGTGCCTTAGATCTCACTCTGAAGATACACAGCTATATAGGCAGAAGGATGATGATAGTTTATGCCTTGTCTTGTGCATTCTCTCCTGCATTCTTTCTCAGAGAATTTACGGGAAGCCAGGTGACACTGTCACAGACCAGCTCACAAAATTGTCTCCCACATGCTCTGGGTGACTGACATTTATCAAAGATTTCAGTCACTGATTCCAATGATCCATCACGGTTACCACCACAACTGCAAACACAAGTGCCTGCCCTCCTAACTACTTGTTGCTGTTATCCTAAATAAAACAAAAATACCTTTTTCATTGCTTCCCTACAGTCACTGGCATAAATAAAAAGTTTAATTGTCACTCCTGTGCATGTCTGATGTCACAGCTTCCTATAAATATGTACTGTATCTGGTTAAAGATACAACATAATAATTAGTGCTATCCATATTATCACATAAAACACATAATTACCTCTATTTTTATCTGCATCCTTTTCTGGAGTCATATATAGTTCTAAAAGAGCTGCAGAGTAGACGTGCATTGATAAGGAAGTTATTCCAAACTTTTTCCCCATAAAAGCTCCTCTAAAACTGACATCATCTTTAAGGCCCTTTTCACGCTTTCTGATCTAGAGGGGATACATGTACAGATCCCCTGCTGATCGGAACGGATGTCACTGTGGTTACATCAATGTTTTCCTCCACCTTGGAGGGAAAAAAGGAAATTACCAAACCTATGTTGGTCTATTGGGAATGCCACTGTTTTGACATCCATGTCCATTCAGTTTTTTCCTCCATCTTGGAGAAAAAAAGGAAATGACCAGACCCATGTTGGTCTATGGCGAATGTCACTGTTGTGACATCCATGTCCCTTCAGTTTTTTTCCTCCTCCTTGGAGCAAAAAAGGAAATTACCATACCCATGTTGGTCTACAGAGAATCAAATGTAAACAGAGTTATGTCCATTTATATCAGATTACCCCCGATCCGGCACGATCAGGTCTGGTGAAATGTAACTCTGATCAGCTTGTTTTTCTAGATCTGGCTAGAGCCGGGGTACCCAGATGCCTGTCCATTTAGATCCGGCTGCCCATAGACTAACATTGGGCTTCCGATCAGGTCCGCCTGAAAAACTGACAGTTGGCCATCATTGGAAAGCCCATATGAAATGGCTCTTAAAAAGGAAAATCTGATTTCAACTAGGAATGCACCGATACCGGTATGTCGGTACCGAGTACGAGTACCGATATTTTGTTTTCGGTACTCGCTGATACAGAATACCGTAAGTCCCATTCAGGAAGCCAGGCAACGTGTAATGACTCGCCACCTGGCTTCCTGATTAGCCGGGAAGTCGGGCAGCGTGTAAAGACTTGCTACCCGGCTTCCCGATTAGCAAGCAAGCCGTCCTCATGCTTCTTGTCACTATGTGACGAGAAAGCATGAAGCCAGCTTGCTGGCCAATCATGGAAGCGGCTCCCGGCTTCCTGATTGGCTGGGAAGCCGTCTCCATGCTCCCTCTTCATGAGGTGACGAGGGAGCATGTAGCCGGCTTCCTGGCCAATCAGCCGTGCGCTGCGTCATTAAACGCGTCATTACACTCTGCCGGGCTTCCAGATCGACGGGGAAGCCAGCTCCATGCTCTTTTGTCACCCCATGAAGAGGGAGCATGGAGCCGGCTTCCCAGCCAATCAGGAAGCCCGGCAGTGTGTAATGACGCGCTGCCCGTCTTCCTGATACAGGAAGTATTGGGCTAGGCATCGGAGCATTTGGGCGAGTACAAGTACTCACCCGAATACTCGGTATTGG